CCGCGTTCGGCCGAACGGCCGAACGCGTCAAGAGGGGGTGCCGAACGTTCGGGCGTTCGGGTTCGGGCGTTCGGCCCGTCCCGAACGCCGGCAACCTTGCATGCTACAACAAATTTTCAAAGGGGGTGCAGGTGACCACTGATCCAGGCCTGCAACCCCTTTTCGTTTTTCTGGGTGTCTATTTCCCCCTCGCACTCGTGCGCCGTATGTGTGCAATTGCCCACACGGCATGCACTTGCGTGTATGGTGCGAAGTTATAAATGACAGCATCATAAACTGCCCACTGTGTTGTGCTACAAGCACAGCAAAGCATGGCAACTCATAGCAAAGCATAGCCAAGCATGCAATAGCATGTTGAGTATAGCCAAGCATGGCGAAGCACGGCAGAGCATAGCCGAGTACGGCAAAGTATAGCAAAGCATGGCAACTCATAGCAACGCATCGCCAAGCATGGCAAAGCACGGCAGAGCACGTGAGAAGCGGTTAACTGACCCTTAAATTTTCAGGAGGTTTTTTTCAGGGTCATTATAACAAACCTGTCACACCTTTTTAGCCAGGCTTGTCACTGGTCCATAGAGTGGACACCAAACTTGGCACAGGCAGACCTTGACCAAAAATAAAACAGGGAAAAAAATATAAAATTAAAAAAAAAAAAAAAAAAAAAAAAGTTACCCCCAAATGCACTTTTCAATGCTGGTTTAGGTTTAACCTGGGGCTGAAAAGTGGGGGTCGCCGTTAACTGCTTGTGGAGCACATTCGCAAACAGTGGCAAAGTGTGACTAAGTGTGATGTCTGTGCATTGCTCCTATGCTGCCCATTGGGCTGCTTTGTATATCAGAGGGGGAACATGCATATCGACCAATTGTATTCGATCGATTGCGATCCTCGGAAAACTGTGATGTTTGCTTTTAGTACGCTGTGTGGTTCGAGTTGTGCTGCTGGTGCATTGAGTGGATAATGTGATGTATGTTTCCATCTTTTTTTCTTTTTCTTTTTTCTTTTTCTTTTTTCTTTTTCTTTTTTTTTTTTGTGTGTGTGTGTGATGTGTGTTTCTTTGTGAGAGTGGAGGGTTGTTTGGTAGGCATCGTCTTGCTGCTCATATATTCTTGGCTAGGCCAAGGATCTCCTCAGGAAGGACGCACTCCAACACGGCTAGGAAGTTGTGTGAAAGGACTGGAGCAGTGGAGTTCACATTATTCATATGTTGTTGGTTGTGTGGATTATCTGGTTTGCGATGGGGCTGTCAGACTCTGCTGGCAAAAGCAGTTGCAACAGAGTGCTCACTGAATTTCTTAAGTGTGAAAGGACCGGAGCTGATCAATATGTACATAGGAGAGAGCGAGAAGAACGTTCGTGAAATATTCGAGAAGGTATTCAGAACTTTCTTATCCTGTTTGTGTGCACTGCACACTTTCTTGACAGTGCGATCATGTCCTCGTAGCCAGCCGCCTACCCAAGTCTCGCGCGCATCGCAATCTGATGCGCAGCATATGAGCTTCGCAGACCGTGAAGAGTGCGCTGAAAATTTTGGAAAAGAAGCAGAGAGTGTTGTGCATGGTGTCTGTGCGTCCATTCTATATGTGTTTGAGGGCATACAGTGGATTTTTATGAACTTCTACGGTATTAATTTCGAATTTTATTGTGATAAATACTTGCAAACATTAACGTGCGATATCCAAGTCCATATGGAAGTCAGGAAATCTCTCAAGTGGATATGTTTATGTGAGGGAGGAAAAAGGAGGCAAAAGAAATTGAAAGGAAAAGAGGGAAGGAGGGGGAGGAGGGGGAGGAGGTGTGGGGGGAGGATGAAGGAGTGAAAGTAGGAAAGAAAATGAAGTGAGGAACGAGGGAGGAGAGGGAGAGAGGGAGAGAGGGAGGGAGGGAGGAGGAGTAAAGGGTAAGATGGCCAACATGGTGGAGGGTGTGGGCTGTCTCTTATACACATCTAGATGTGTATAAGAGACAGGTCGTGCAGTGCGGTGTGGGGTCGCGCGACGCG